AGATATAAGGATTTTCGTTAATCTTCAGGTATGGTTGATTCCACGATGTTGCCGTTGATGGGGTATTTAGTTGATATTCGCCATGTCTCAGTATATGGAAGTGTCTACGCAATTGCCGATGTAGCGTTTTGTATTGGATTTGCTGTTGGTATGAATTTACGGATTTATCGTTGATAAACTATTATCATTAATTGTTAATTTTATTTTTCTTTTATTTTGAAGCTGCCGTTTTTCCTACATGGATTAAATTAGAGCAGTTGTTATTTGGTGCTTAAAATGTGACTCGCCTTTGATTTGAAGCAGCCCTTGGTTCAATTCTCATATTTTGAAATAAATATGAATGAACTCTCTATGGCTATCACTTGGCTATAGAGCATCGGGAATTTCTAAATGAGATGATCACTCTCTCTAAGATCTGTCCACCATATCATTGCTTCATGTAATAAGTACTTATATATAATAGGCTCATGGGTGTGATTACATCATCATGCCTATGGTAAATACATCTTTAAAGAAAATCCGATTGTATTAGTAATAATAATAATAATAATAATAATAATAATAATAATAATAATAATAATAATAATAATAATATAATAATAATAATAATAATAATATTAATAATAATAATAATAATAATAATAATAATAATAATAATAATGTCAATAATTAACTTAATTGTTAATAATACTTTTGTGTACAGTGGATACAGCAAATTGCGTTTATCTACTTTTTCTTGTGCATTTGATCTCCTTGTTCTTTTTTGTTGTTGTTCTATGGATTTGAAACTCTGATATAAAAGATGAATGAATGAATGAATGAATGAATAATAATAATAATAATAATAATAATAATAATAATAATAATAATAATAATAATAATGATAATAATAATGATGACGACGATCATTATGATGATGATGATTAAGTCTGGTAGTCTCAGTACACTAGTGCTGACTGACTTCTCGAAGGCGTATGAAATGATCGATTACACCATTGTATTTCACTGCCTCTTAAAAATGGTGATACCATCATCCCTTGTGCAGTGGGTGGTTAACTTTGTATCAGGTACAAACCAACGAGTTAGATACAGAAATTAATTTTTCTAGTTGGGAAACACTAAAGGTAGGTGTACCACAGGGCACCATTTTAACACCAATAATTTTCTTATGTACAATAAACTCTGCATGTGAATAACATAGATGTAATGATATTATTAATGTATGGAAACATGTTGATGACCTGACTTTAGGTTGAATATAGACACCAACTTGAAATTGTTAACAATACAAAACTGTTAGTTATTACAATTCAATGCGATCTAAAATGGAATGCCCATGTTGATGATTTGTGTAGCAGAGCTAGTAGAAAAGTCTTCATGATACACTTGGAATTATTTCCCTTAAGGATCGAAGGGAAATCCTATGTCTGAATTTTGCCCATAAGGTGTACAAAAATACATTAACTCAAAGGAAAATGCTTCCAAGAGAACAGTAGTAGTTTTTTTTTTTTTTTTGCAAGCTTACGAACACGATTACGAATACGGATACGTCATCAGATTTGACAACCTTTCTCCTACAGTAGCATAACTGTCACAACGTAGATGATTGAAACCTGAATCGAGGGTCATATTCAGCTTATACAGCATGTTGTCTAGAATGTTGGAGGCACGAATGACGATGATGATAACGACGTGTTCGTATTTGTTATCATTTTCGTAAGGTTGCGAAATCTCCCTATGAAATAGCTCAGTCATGAAAAAAAAAAAAAACGAGTTCTAGACTACTACAACTGCTCTACCAAGAGGTACTACGCAGATCCTCTTCCTTAAATGACGACGGCGTCTTATAAATGAATTAATAAATAATTGATTTTTTTTTAATCATCTTATCATAATATCTCTTGTTGACAAAGTAATTTGTACTGTATAAACAATGGTGATTATCAAACTGCTCAATTTGTTAAATAAATAAATCATGGTGTAAATGCTTTAATAATTACTTGACAGTCTTCTGTTTTAGTTAATCACTGCTATTATTATTATTTTTATAATTTAGAAAGAATGTCATTGGAAAAGTGCAATTGAATTGCTGGATTGTGTATTTAAATTTTTAATTGAACCTTTTTACAGTAGTTTAATGTTGGGATGAAATATGGTTTTTGATTGTTTGTGCAATTGGTTTTAAATATTTTAAATTTAATAATAATAATAATAATAATAATAATAATAATAATAATATAGGTTTTTAAGTCAGTGCCATATATATATTTGTGTAGTTGTTATTTTTATAGTTAATTATCTCACTTCATTTTATTGTGCAATGCTGATTCAATAAAATATACCAGAATATAATATACACCCATGGCTTTCTTAAAACATAGGCCTATAACTTACCAATATTTTATTTCTTTACTTAATAATTTATCTTTAAGGACCATCTGTAAGCGGCGAGCTCATCTCAGTTGTAGGATTTCCATGGTATGTATTATTTATTGTTTACGATTTCAGTAAGCCGGTTTGAGATAAAAATTAATATTTATTCTCTTAAAGCCTATTTCTCCCAGTTTTTAAATATTCGAAAATCTGTATCTCATTAACCATTCCAAAGTTTTCACACCTTTTTTTGTGTTTTAGAAAAAACAGTTATACAACATATCATATTTTTTTCTTCGTTGGCAAGCTTTAAAAACGTACACTGGAATCAATATTTTACTGAAAATAAACTAGCAATTCCGTATTATATTTATAAATCTTTATAACATTATACAAAAATTAGATTTTTCTTAAAAATTGAAATTTTCCCGGGAATGGGGCTTTAAAGCCTATTTCTCCCAGTTTTTAAATATTCGAAAATCTGTATCTCATTAACCATTCCAAAGTTTTCACACCTTTTTTTGTGTTTTAGAAAAAACAGTTATACAACATATCATATTTTTTTCTTCGTTGGCAAGCTTTAAAAACGTACACTGGAATCAATATTTTACTGAAAAATATTAACTTCTCAAATAAAGTTTCACTTCTATATTATATACAGTGATCTACGTTAATTGTACCTGGTATTAACCAAATGTATACAACTGTGAAAGAGCTAAATTAGTTTTTTGAAAAAATACCCACCAATAGATCGACAGTCTACCTATAAATAATGAACCATTTAAAATATATAAAGAAGGCATGCAGTTTCTGTTATTAGGGTGTGCATAATTTTAGTAAAAACAATAGCATAATTTATTTATTGATATTATTGTTATTATTTTATTATTTACTTAAATAATAATCAATAATTTGTTTAATTTATTTATTAATTGTTAATAACGCTTCATATTTGATTATTTTTTGTTTGATATTATTAGGATGGTTCGTGGCATGGCGTTTCTCAATATAATTTTTGCTCCATTGTGTATATTCCTTCGGAACCCACCACCAAAAGAAGACAAGCAGGTGCGTATAACTTAATGTATATTGAGATAAATCATGACAAAGTAAACTAGGAGTGGACCTTTTCTGATGAACTTAACTGACCACGAAGGGGCCTGAGTCCCCTGGCTAAGACTTCTTGGGTGCTACTACCGGAGAGGTACAATCCCGTCCATTCCAGTTTAGCTTTACGTATTAATTTAGTTTTTTAATCGGGATCACTTTTTTTACAGTGGCACACATCACATTGATGGTGCATCCAAAGAAAAATAAAAAAAAAACATAAAAAAGAAACATAAAAATATCTTAAATACGGCAAATTAACTACTGTAACAAAATACCTACAAGCAACAAAAAACCTTAACTACAATAAATGAAACTACTAACTAAAGAAACTGACAATCCATATTCATACATATCCATATAATTATTTGTTTAGTTAAGTTTGCGAACTGTCATTGATTTCCAACGATCTAAATGTGTAAGTTCAAATAAATAAATAAAACAAACAAGCAAAGGTGCAGTAATTAACACTTACCGGTATCTTTTATTAATAATAATAATAATAATAATAATAATTAATAATAAATATTTTTCTTGTATTCCAAGCAAGTTCAAAGTATGTTTGATAGCCATGTTTAAAATCATCCCAATACGTGTGTAAATCATCGTTGTGCCGGGTATCTTTCTAATTCATAAAATACGGTATAAAATTTCTGATTGATTTTAGATTTTTGCATTCAAATAGAAAATGATCTACAGTTTCTTTTAAATTGCTTCCACAAAGACGGCAAATACCTGTTTAACAATGCCATGGTTCTTCTTGACCTTCTAATCCAAACAATTTGATTCAGCTTTGAATTTCTGGTTGGTTCCTTTAAAGTTACTTTTATCTAATAAATATTTCTCTACTCTTGGTTTTGCCTTTGTATCGTCTCTAATTCTTCAAAGGGTTTTTTTTTAATTATTATTTTTGCTTGTTCGAACCAGTTCTTGTTATCGAAAATAGAAAACGATCTACAGATTCTTTTAAATTGCTTCCACAAAGACGGCAAATACCTGTATTGTTTACAATGCCATTATTCTTTTTGATCTTCTAATCCAAACAATTTGATTTAGCTTTGAATTTCTGGTTGGTTATTTTAAAGTTACTTTTGTCTAATAAATATTTCTCTACTTTTGGTTTTGCCTTTGTATCGTCTCTAAATTTTCAGAGGGTTTTTTTTTTTTTTTTCGCTTGTTCGAACCAGTTCTTGTTATCTTTTTGTATATTTTTAATTTTTAAAACTTTCAGCTATCCGATTTGACAAAAATTATCTTCTAATACATTTCATAATTCACAATTTTGAATTTATAACTTTCCTTAAGTCATTGCCATTTCAGATTATTATTAACAGTTTTGGTTGCTTTTAGTAACATGATTGGCAACCTGAATCATTCATGTACGGTCCATTATTAGCTACAGTGGTATTAATTAAAAATAAATCATTTAAGCCTATATTGTAAGGATTATGTCACATTTCAGTTTCTAGTATCTTTGATTATATAAAGGCATTATATTTTGTTTTGTTTCCTAATTTAGATGATTCTTATGAACGAGGAGTTGCCAATTACCTACGTGACAGCCAAACAAACTGACTACCATGCTGTTGAAGACGGCGAGGCTTGCGACTGACAGGCTTGTTCGATGGCAGAAGAGTTACTATTTTAGCTTCTTTCCGAGAGGTTCCGCTTGATTCTGCGTGCTTACACTTAAATACGATATTAACATAATTTTATTGATGATTTTACTATCATAAAATAATTACAGAATATTTATTTTTACATTATTCCAATCATAGGTTTTCTGACATTACTTCTCAAATATGGCTTGTGATAGGTATATTATAGGTAAATATAAACTAATTTAGTTAGTACCGGTAGCATTACACACGTTGTGGTAATCACAAAAAGGAATGGAAAAGTTTAGAATTAAAAGTCTCATTATTACAGTATTCAACATATTAATAATATTCAGTTTATAATTATTATTATTAATATTTATGTAGGATAGTAAAGCCTATATTTTATATAGGCTTATATTATATATATAATATACATAGGCCTACATACATATAGTATGTATATATTATATATATATATATATATATATATCATATATATACAAAATATAGGCCTAACTATCCTATTAATAATAGTAATATATATATACATAATATATATAATATAATATATATAATATGTATACACATCTAGATGTGTATAAGAGACAGATATAAGAGAGAGAAAATATTCTTTTTCTTCTACCACATGTGCAAGTCTAAAATGTTTTATTTTCAATCATGAATAGAACGCGGTTTTAATAGTTCGCGTAAAATGGGTACTTATTGTCTTACAGAGCTTATTTCTCAATGTTAAATGCTAGGGTTCTAAATCGCTAATACAGCATGTTAATGAAGTGTGTCCGTCGCACATGTACAACTGGTAACTTATGTGGACATAATATCAGAACCTAGGACTGTAAGAATGCTGTTACATAGCGCTTGCAGAACACCCGATTTATTAGCAATCACTACATTGTTTAGAATCGCTGGATGATTCAAAATTCTACGTGTTTCTGTGACGTAAAACCATCCTGTTATTATTGTACAAGTTTTGTGTATTCCCTCTATTATTTGTTATGGCCAATGTCAAGGACATTAATCAAATAAAATTGAATATTAAAGGCATTGAATATCATGACTGACTTTTGACTTATAAACTAGAAAAAAATTAAAGATGATTATTGATTCTACGATGCATTGGGTGTTGTCGAGGATTATGTCGTCCTAATGAAGATGGTGGAAGAATGCATTTTTTTGCGATTGTGTGTGGGTCGGAGAATGTGTTGTCGTCACCATTGATTCATGTTTTTCTCTTATTTAACGAGATTTATCCATACAACAAAGATGGCATGATATTGCGCATTTTGAAATTCCAGATACTCTCTATGGCTTTAAACTAATGCTTGGAGAGGGAGTTTGGTGGTAAATAATCATATTTGACAGGAACGAGCATGTAGAACGTCAAACCAACCACAACGTCAATATCTTCTCAGATAATATTGCCAATGACAACCTTCTTTTGAATCCATCGCGCCCTTGTTATACCTTTACCGAACTCTTATATGTACGGGCAGTTTATAAGGTTGAAATTTGTTCGTTATTTATTGAATTTTTTGATGAAAAAATTACTATACCTTATGTTTTTAGCGAAACAAAAATATATAATCCTCATTAATGTGCAATTTTTTGAGGATATAATTAATATACGCCTACGTAAGTTATTGGCAAAAAAAAATCATCCTAAACTGTAAACCAGTAGGCCTAAAGATTTATTTGTTGATATGTGTTTAATTGAAAGTTAATAAAAATATAGTTATTTATTTATTTTTAGAATGGAATTTAACAAATACGAAACTGAAAGCTACTCTATGAATAATCTTCAAAGGTTGAGAGAAAAAACTTGGCGAGGGATCGTGAATTGATTTAACAAAACAGAAGAGCACAACTGAAGAAATATTAAATGCATTTCAATTGGGTGAACAAAATGTTTATTCACACCCCCAAAAACTGACAGGATACTAAAGGTCAATTTTTAGTACTAAACATCAATGAAACAAGTATTCACGTAAATACTTTATTGTCTATGACTCAAGTTACTGCATGATAGTTTTTGTTTTTAATAAGACCAATTTCTTCTAATTTTAAATATATTTTCCCCTGAATTTGTGATAATTTGTGTAGATTTGTGCTAAATGCGTGACAAATTTAGTATCACGCATATGTGTTCCTGCGAAATGCGTGTTTCGTCCAAAATTACTATAAAATTCAGGATCGTCCCGCACGATGCGAGACGGTTGGATAAGTATGCTACGACGTACCTATTACTTTGGTAAAACAAGGCATTTCACAAAACAACCATCCACTAACTCTGAATAATAACATTTTGGATTTAATCCCTTCCTTCTAAAAACGTCCCCATCCATAATTTTCCAGACTGCTTAAAAAGATTTATTTGTTCCATACTATGCAACAGTACAACCAAATACAGGATACAAAATTAAAGTTTCAGCCTTACCTCAAATAAGCTAAGATAGATCCTCTTTCAATTATTAATAATAATTTATTATCTTGGTATAGTGTCTTAGCATTGTATCAATTTTTTTTATGTCAAGTATGTCATTTTATTATAATATGTATTTGTTGGTATTATGTATGTACAATTTTGTTCAAAACGGAGACGAATTTCTATATTTTAGACAATAAAGTTGATTTGATTTGACTTTATACTTTTAGATTAGAAACGTTTTTTAGGAATGTACATATTTCACAAACGTTTTATATCTATATTTTACCGCTTTGGTCTGTTTCAATGGAAGGATATTATACTAAGCACATATGGGTGAATGTCGTGGGATGGATATAATAATGCACAAGTACCGGAGAACTTGATATTATTGATACACTTAAATAACCTCAGGGTGATATTGTACGACCTTGTAATATCGGAAGCACCGTAAGTATTGTTGTATTGTTTAAGAATATCAACGATATTAAGTCGAATACATGAATATTGTTCGTCTTAATTCGAAACACGTTGAGTGAATGTCGAGTGGTCAATTAATTTCAAATCCTGGCACTTTCCCCATTTATGATGCAACCACTAATTTGGATGAACAACAAGCAAACTAATGACCAAACGATAATTTGATGGTTGATAAGGTATTGCCAAAATCCCAACGTCACGTTGGAAGTTCAAAGTTTTATGAAATAATATTTAATAATCTTATAAAAGATATTGACGCTTAGAGTTTAACTGTACCTGGGGGGACGTGACATTATCCTTTGAAGTTGAACTCAAGGACACTTAAACCAATTAACTCCGGTAATGGTATATAGGCCTACACTATAGCAAAATTATACAACAATGATAAATCATAAGCATGGTAATAGCAATAATAGGTCAAATATTGATTATACAATGTTATTGAAAATAATAATAATAACTAGAGCACTCGGAGAGTGTATACCCAAGTATCTTTGCCTTTAAAAAAAAATAAATAAATAACGAAAATAAAATCGCTACCCACAACGGAGCCCGGGTCCTCGCTTATAAAGCCAACATCTTGGCCAACTAATCAACTAATACATTTTTAGTTATATGTGATCTGGTAGCTATTGAGAGTCTTCAATCATTGTTCATTGGCCTAAGAAAATTTTAGAAAGTTTTATTCAGATCCATTGATCAGTTTTTAAGATATATATGTTCCGTATTATGGTCTCCACATACACACCCTGCATCGGAGCGTCACCTAGACTGCATACGTTTTTCCTTGGCCATGACGAACCGTTCCAGAAAGGTTTTCAGATGAATTAATCAATTTGTTTATATATTTTTTAATATTTAAGTCTGAAAAGTTCCCTTTAAATAGTTCTCATATCACCCTACTCCGGATCGTTACAACAATGTACTCATATCTTCCATGGACAATAACAAACCATTCTAAAAACTTTCAGTCAGATCCAATGTTCGTTTTTTGTTTTTTTTTAGATATTTAGATATTTGACTTTAGTATTTTAAATGACACCCAAGTTCTTTCTTGGCTAATCTCGCCAAAATTTAATAATTTATTTCTTGTAACTTGTAACAGTCCCAGAAAGTGTCATTCAGATCAGTTGGTAAGTGTTTGAGATATCTGGTCTGGGACGTTTCTGTTTAAATGGTCCTCATATCATCACCCTACGTTACCAAAATGTATTCATTTCCTCCTTGGAACATGACAAACCATTTGAGAAAATTCCATTTAGATCCAATGATCATTTGAGATGTTGATATTTGTATATTTATTTCCCCTAATTTAAATTAATAATGTCTCCCTTGTAACTTGGTTAAAGCTTCCAGAATGTTTCACACAGATCAGTAGACCAGTTTTTGAGATATCCTTTGTGGAGTGTTTATTTAAATGATCCCACCAAACCCAGCTGCGAAGCTAGGTGCGAAAGGGCCCCAGAGCAATATTAATTGCCAGGCCCTTTGATGTGATAGGAGAATTTCGTTAAGTTCTCAGAAAATTCATCGTAAGAAGTGCTTTTTTACCCCCTACTCTTAAAGCCCTGCTAATAATAAATACTAATGCTGTTCGGATTCGTAACTATTTTAAGAGGGGCATATTCGGTCTCAGCAGCTGTTCTAAACTAATCAAGACAATTGGTGGTACATTTAACAATTTCAGTTGAATTCGAAATAGAGGGACCAAGGAGGGTGAAGACCATGTACTAACATGGTTGGGGCTGAGGTAAGAAAATTTTATGAATAGGCCTATAGCATCTCTAGATGGCCGTAAAATGAACCCTCAGGCTTAAATTTTAATATAATTTCCCTTTTTTTCCAATTCTTTTATAATTTTGAAAAAATGAAGGGGAGGGGGCACCCTTGATATACCACGTATTTGAAAATAACAGTAATAAAAAAAAACCCCGAATATTATTGAGGGGAGGGCCCGCTGGCCGTTTTATTCTTCAAATAAAAGTTGGAAATTATATTAAAATAATATTTTTAGGTCTCTCTATGAATGGGCCCCAGTGCTTTGCACTGGCTGCACTACCCGTAGCTACGCCACTGTCCAAATCCCACTCTGGATCGTAACCAAAATAGAAAGGAACCTCCCTTTCAATATCAGCAATCATCGTGAAAATCTGACGTATGTAGACCTAAGACTTTAGGCAGGCGGTTGATAACAAACATACATACACACAAACACAAATTGAACAAAATTATAACCTCCTTGTAGGTAATAACAATAATAATTTTGATAATAATAATAATAATAATATTATTATTATTATTAATAATAATAGTAATAATAATAATAAAAATAATAATAATAATAATAATAATAATAATAGTCAAATTTCAATGGTTTTTAAAATAATTATAATAAACCTATCATTAGCTCAAAGCATGTTGTATAGTCAAATAATCTAGGTCTAACTGTAATTACTTAGGCATGTCGGATTTGCAATCAATACTCACCTGGGAATCGATTCGTAAACATCCTTTGGGATACATTATACTTCAGTAAGTCACAGGAAATACTTAAGATTACCCTATAGAAAATGTTTAAGTATCGGCTTTAAGACCTAGAATAATCCGGAATATTTTAAGACATCGCATACGTTTAGTTGGTGATAGACTGGTCAACATGATAACTATATCAGCCAAACATGTCTTGGTACGTAAAAATAACTTAAGAGTTTAATGGACCATATTTGTAGAAAGAATTGTTTGTTGTCCGTGGATTTTTGCGTTTCAAACATTTTCAGCTGAAACTATCCTTACTGATACTTTGAAGGTAAAATCTAATACAACTATTTTTATTATCATATAGGTACTTGCTTTGGTGGTTTTTGTCGTAGCAGAACAATATGATGTCACTGCAGGTTCCCCACATGAGCGACGGTCAGAAAGAGCCGCGTCGGATGTTGTCTTAAGATTTCGAGGCTGCCCGATGTAAGTACATTGTGACACATTCAAATGATTAAAGTTGGTTTCCATATAATTACCCTATGGAGCATGTAGACAAAACAGCAGAGGATTACCAAAAGCAAACTTAATCATAAATATCGCTTCGTTACCGTTAGTAACATATATTGATATTGTAGTTATGGCTAATTGTCCGATAAAAGATAATGTTTTTAAATGTTAAAATCAATTTTAACTGTAGTAGTTAATATTGGTAATATTTTTTATTTTATCTGTAAATATTACGGTTAAATGTGGTATTTGTTGTCTATGTGATTTTAAAGACGAGTTATTTTACATCTTGATTATCGCTGGGAAAAAGCATCAGTATTCTGTTCTGATTGTTTAATTTACAAAAAAAAAAAAAAAAAAACCCGAAAGATTAAAAAAAAAAAAAAAAAAACCCGAAATCTAGTGGCAGCTGATGCCAGTAAATGCTATACTAATAATGAATGTTTGTGAGCGCAATGGGAAGAATATTTTCATGAAGTGAAAGTCTATTCCATTCGAAGAGACGGAACCGATTTGAATGGAACAGTCCATTTTCAACGAATGGAAATATTCTTTCCATTGCGCGAATAGAAAAACATTAATTACTTGGGAGGCAGCTATCCCCAAAGGGGGTCTGGCGCCACCCCTGTTTTTCTTACTACTGAAACTGCATTACGATGTTCGGAACTTTTTATACAACTTTACCATTATCCTAATTTGTAAGGCTGTTGTATTTATCGCTTAGTATTCTTATTCTTTAAATTTTTCTTATAGTAGAGTCTTGTAAGCTGAATTTTTAACACTGTTTAAACTCGCAAACTGAATTTTGTGTGCTTTAACATGATCAAAGTTAGCAATATTGTCTGCTTCATCACGCTCAATACTAAGTAGTGCCAAAGCCGATAGACTCGCTTTTCCCATCGTGGTTCTGAGATATGACAGGATGAGCTTTAGTCATGTAGTCATTACAGAAAAGGATAAAAAAAAAAACCAAACAAGAGAAAACGGTCGAAATAACCTGAAAAGAATACTATAAATTTGCCAATAAAAACAACTACATTCAGATTCTTATTATTAACTGGAAAATATTCATGCCTGACGAGATACATCAATTTCGTCGTGTTTTTCTATAAAGTGCTTCTTTTTTTACTCTCATTCTCCAATTTCAGCGCCCCTCCCCACACCCCCCACCCAACCTGGTGCCCGGGGCACGTTCCCACTTGGCCCCTCTAGCTACTCCACTGCCTAGGCGTCATTTTATGGATTTAACCTTCCGTAAAAAGTGTTCGTTTCCTAGGCACCGTGCAATGAACAAAAACGGATGGAAGTAGAAATGCACGGTGAACTAAATTTCTATGATGTGTTACAAAATAGGGTTAATAACCAATGTCACGTGATACGAAATACAGAAATCAAATGACAAGGATCTATTTTGGTGTATTAGGCCTATTTGCTTGAATGCGTAATGCGTTCGGTCTCTTGACTTAATAAAAAATTCATTATAACATTTAAATAGATCCTAGTCATTAGATTTGTGGATTTCGTATAACGTGTCATTGGTTATTTACATCATTTCTTCACTCATCATCAAAATTTAGTTCCATCCATCCATCTTTTGTTCCATTCGTTTGGTCCAGTTCCACAACTCCTCCTAAATACAATGTTTTCATTAGTTAGAAGAAGATAGACTGTTCCATTGTGAAGAAATAGGCCAAACTTTTTTTTTTTTGTGGATGGAGCCTGCTAATGGCTACCTCGCGTCAAGGCATTAAATAATTTTCATGAGAGGTTTAAAGAATGGCCTAAACAAGTGGGGCCTAAAAATTTCCAAAGGAAAAACTGCTATATGTTCACGAGTAAAACAGATTGATGGAGCCTATATTTAGGGCTGAGCACTGTTTCAGTTGTTACCACAAGTTTTAATAACCAACTAGTCTAAGCGGCTTCATAAATTGCATTAGTGGTATTTTTCAGCGTACGAGTATTTGAAATTTTACAGTGATAAAAGAGCACTATAATTATAGTGATTTTAATTCATGTATACTTATATATTTAAGTTATTATCAATATTTTGGGATTTTTATTTGTAACAGAACTAGCGACCAAGCTAAATTGATTACTGCGTTGTACGGTAAAATATTGAATGTTCACTCAAGGACTGGCAGAAGTATTAAAGGATCGCAGTTTGGCGTAGCAGTTAGCGTAGCTTCGCTTAATGAAACTACAGAAGTGGTTCCTGAGAGAACTGGAAAATGGCCAATTGTTGAACCAGAAATTGAGGAAGGAGGTTCAACAAACGAAAATGAACCAAGTAGAAAACATGGCCAATTGGGTAACCAAGACGTAGAGATTCCTAGACCAACAGGAGGCCAGAGACTAAACACTAGTCCTCGGTCTCCCTGGTGGACACAAGAACCATCTGGTGAACAATGGCCAAGACGAGGTCTTTCTGGTAAAAAAGGAACATACAGATATCAGAAACCGCAGGAGCAAAAGGGTCAAATGGAAAGTCAGGCTCGTTCTGGTAATTCTTGGTCCTCTTGGTCTTCTTGGTCTTCTTGGTCGTCTTGGTCGACAGGAACCACGTGTGTATAAGAGACAGCCTCAAGAGGTCAAGGTCCTTCTGGAAACCAAGGACATAGGGGAAGAGAGGGAACATCTGGTGGTCAAGGGCCAAGAGGAAATCAGGGACCTCAAGGCAGACAGGGCCCTTCTGGTAGCCAAGGACCAAGAGGAGAACAAGGGATACCCGGTGGTCAAGGACCAAGAGGTGGTCAGGGGTCTCAGGGCAGACAGGGCCCATCTGGTAGTCAAGGGCCTAAGGGAGGCCAGGGGTTACCCGGTGGTCAAGGACCAACAGGAGGTCGGGGACGTCAGGGTGGCCAGGGACCTTCTGGAAGCCAAGGACCCAGGGGAGGACAGGGAAGACCCGGTGGCCAAGGGCCAAGAGGAGGCAAGGGAACTCAAGGCAAACGGGGCCCATCTGGCAGCCAAGGGCCTAGAGGAGGTCAAGGGCCATCTGGTGGTCAAGGACCAAGAGGAGGCCAGGGACCTCAGGGTAAACAAGGACCATCTGGTAGCAAAGGATCCAAGGGAAGACAAGGGACATCCGGTGGCCAAGGGCTAAGAGGGGGTCAGGGTCCAGATGGTGGACAGGGCCCATCTGGTGGCCAAGGACCCAGAGGAGGCCAGGGACCATCCGGTGGTCAAGGACCAAGAGGCGGTCAAGGACCTCGTGGCGGACAGGGAGTACAGGGAAGTCGTGGTTTGTCAGGTAGTCAAGGTCCTCAAGGTGGACAGGGTTCATCTGGAAGTAGCGGAACGACAGGGCGACAAGGGCCATCTGGTGGTCAAGGACCAAATGGAGGACAAGGATTTTCAGGTCAAGGTCGTTCTGGTAAACAAGGACCAATTGAAAGGCAGGGAAAAACTGGGAAACAAGGCGCCACAGAGAGCGATATATCGCATGGTAGCCGGGCTACCTCAGAAAGTTTAAAAAAACCAAAGGGAAAAAGTCAGCAGCAGCGTTCGTGTTCTCCAACAACTAAGAATGTCAAACTAACTAAGGGAAAGAACAAGAATGGTAAAGCCGTTGCGGTGTTTCAAGGTACTCTTACTGATGGTTCAATGTGGTATCAGACGGTAGACAGAGTCAAATGCAGGTAAGTGGTTTATCATTTAGTACGAGTGACATCATTTTTTTCATAACACAGGACTTTTCAGAAAAACGGTCATTTCGAACCTCCGCATAAAAACATTTAAAAACATAATAAACATTTTAAAACTCAAAATTTGAGTCTAAAACGTTTCATATGAGCAGTTCTGCTGTTCAAAATGACATTTGATACGTGTTACTCTGAAAAGAAGTACGATATGAGAAGCACTCTGAGAATAATTAACTTTTGAGTGCAAATTGCTTAAACTTTACTAAAAAAAAAAAGACACTATTATTACAACTCCTGCTGATGTTGTGATTGTTGTGGTTGAAGTTGTTTTTAGTCTTTTGTTGTTGTGGTTGTTGTTGGTGGTGATTATGTTGGTTTTAAACCTATCACCTATTTTCTGTCATTTTTTTATACATATTTCTTTGCAGGGGTAACTGTGACGCTAATGGAAAGTCAACATGCTCTGTTAAATATTGTTATCGACAAGTCTTGGCGTACACTGGCTGTGGGGACGTGCAGTTTGGTGCTAGGCTCGAGTTCAAAGAGATTCGTCTACCGTGTAGTTGTAAATGTAAATGAAAGAAGGAATATTAGTAATTGTCTAGTAGTAAAAACATTATACTTGAAACAGGAAACAAGTATGTTGACATTTTATTTTTAATTGGCATTTTATTGTATTTACAAGACAATTTTTAAAAGCCTATAAGAGACAGATGTAATCCACGTGTGTTCTTTAGATACATAACTCAATGAAAAAGATGATGAGATGTCAACGACTTGGTAGACTTAGAACACAAATTTTATTCAAAACATGAATATTTCAACCCGTTCTCGGGTCTTCTTCAGCACGGGTGTCACACATGCTGAAGAAGACCCGAGGACGGGTTGAAATATTCATGTTTTGACATCTCATCGTCTTTTTCATTGAGTTATATAGATCACTATAGATCACTTCACAATAAAATTTTGAATAATAATGTCAATTTAATGATTTCTTACATGTTTCGTCTTTTATTAACTACGCAAAAGCCACTTTGCACATTATGTCCACTTCAGTGAGTATTAGGCCTATATTGATTAAAAAATTGGAAATCAGAGAAAAAGGTGATAAAATTTAATGTGTCTGATAATCTGATTGTGAAACTAAAACTGTGTATGATAAATTGCTTTTTAATTCTAAATTGTGCGTCAGCTGGTCTGACATTTTAAGTTAGTATATTTCTATTTTGTAATTTTATTGTTTTGTGTATATGCATTGAATTTTCGAAATAATTTTATATAACTTAAAGGGAAAATCAACCAAAGTAATTTTTTTTTTATTAAAGTTTGAGAGAGCAATAACAAGTTTGTAGCAATTAATATGCAGTAATAACACACGCTAAACCACGTATGTAGGTCGGGAAGGCTTATAAAGTTTTCGTTGGGAGGTTTAGGCCTATCAGCAATATAATGATATATAAACATTATATGAATTATTATTAATGTGAAATCCGACAGGCTCACGTAAAGTAGGCCTATTGTTTAATAATAATTGAATTTTCACTTTTCAAGGGTCGAAAATGTGAATAGCTCCCCTAAAGCCGGGAATTCACTGCGTGGTAGCCTACGACGAATCCAACTCCGCTACCTGTGAACACTAGACGATGCGGACGAGCTGTCTGCTGATTGCAGGCGGCAGTCGGATCGTCATGGAGTTCTTCATAGAATCGCGACGACCGTCCGGCGCAGTGAGTGCCCTGCTTAAGGAATAAGCTGTGTAATATGCTTACATTAGTTGCGCCCGCTTATCTTTACTTGTACTTCAGCACATGGGACTGCAACTTTACTATGATACTATATAAACGTTACTCAATAAAACAAGTCTCCCTCTGCAGCCGAAGATTCCATTTAATGACTAATACAGTAGTATAGATGGAGCCGTGTTAGTCAGGTAGACGTGTGAAATAAAAACACTTTATCATAGATCAATTTCAATTATTTAATATACTGAAGCTTCCGACAGCATGCTGGCTTCATCAAATGTATTGTTAATGGTTATGATGCTTGTCTTCTAATCAAAGGGGTCCTGGGTTTAAGTCATGTGGCAGCAAGCCTGTTGGGTCGAATAAAATAATAATAATTAAAAAAAAACCAAGCCAAGGTTCTAAGAAAGTATAACTTTGATATCAAACATTTTCTGAAAATGTTAGTTTCTTACTATTGTTTCCAACATTATTAAAAATTAATTAAACATTAATATCTTAATCATCCTAATTACTACGTAGTATTTTCACTATCATCATCTTCATATCATCATCAACATTGTCATCACAACCGTCATCATTATCATCGTCGTCGTCGTTATTATCTTCATGAAATTATTTATCACAGCTCATCATCGTCATTATAATCTTGATCGTCATCATCATCACCATTATCATCACTATCTTCATTTGTCCTCATAACTAGCATGTTCAATAAACAGGGACGAATCCAGCCTGTTAAGTTAGAAAGAGGGTAGGGCGTGAATGTGAGCGGGGCTAGAGTCTTTGGACAGAGCCTCTGGTGTAATGGAAGGGGGCGAAGCCTCCTTGAAGCTTTAGTACTTCATTAATTTAAGCTGTATTTAATCGATTTTTACTATTTAGCATGGTGATTTTCTGATATGCTTTACAAAAAAAATAAATTCCGTATTTGAATTGCCTAATTTGTATTTTAAATAAATTATTAGCTTACAATTAAAAATGTTAATGAAAAAAAAACCGGACAGTTATATAATGCCTATCCTGCTTTATTTATATGGACCCTTGTTGGCTGGTAATCTATTTACAAAATTTATAGTACATTGTTTGTAAATCATTGGAAACTATTTTTTTGTTCGATGTGTTAAATAATTTGTTGAAAATTTTGAAAGAATTTTAAGATCTTTTTTTTTTTTTTTTTTTTTTTTTCGTTTTTTTTTTTAAATGGACAGACGCCACAATATTTCTTGGCTTAATATTTAAAGCCCAAGTGGCTCACACTAAAAGCAATTAGGCGGAGTGACGCAAACGCCAGCAACTTTGAAACGTTACATTTCATGGAATTCTGTCTGTATGCTACAAGATGAGGGACTATTTTGATGAGAACGAAGGTTGTCCTATCCACTTCCAGCATCGAGACACTGTACCGGAAGTCCGTCATCCTATTAGGGAAAAAGTTGCCATTAATTTTAGGCCATGTCAAATCTAATTCCTTAGTAAAGAAAAATCCTTTCTAACACCAAGTCAACAATGATTAACATTGCAGTGCTCGATGGTTGTTTTGACGGTGAAATTGTTGTCAATGTAGAATTAAACTGAAGTGACCCTGCGCCTAACTTCAAGACCCTCTTAATATGATTTATGAATCATATTTTTTATTATGATATTTAAGCTTTTCTAGCTTATCTATTAGTTCCGCTATGTGTGGGAAGGGCTATGCTTGATACGATTATAAGATCATGTTCCTATTTGAGCACTGTTATTACTATTTATCAATTTATATTTATCCGTTTATAATGTGTTCCCGGTGCTACGCAGTATGTACCTAATCTGAATTATGATTTCCAAGCTGCGATCTTTTTTTTTAGGCTTTTTAGCTTTAGCTTTTCTATATGTGAGCGTTTCAGTCAGTTGGAGAGAAAGTGCCTGGGGGTTAAATCTGCACGTATATATCCAGGTCTCTATGGTATATATACATTCATATAT